TCCGCCTCCGCCCGCGCGCCCGAGGAGGACGAGAGCCTGAAGGGCTGCGAGCTCTACGTGCAGAAGCACGGCGTCCAGCAGGCGCTCAAGGACTGCATCGTGCACCTGTGCGTCGCCAAGCCCGAGCGCCCCATGAAGTTCCTGCGGGAGCACTTCGAGAAGCTGGAGCAGGTCAGTGGCCTCCGCCGCGGCCCTCCTGGGCAGGCCCGCCCGGCGGCCCGGGCTCCCTCCCGTCCCGCCGGCGGGCGGCGGAAGGCTGATGCCCCAGGGAGGGTGGCCCTGCCGTCGTTCCGGAAGCCCGGGCGGGGCCGCGGGGCGGACCCGAGACCCGCCTGGGCACGGTCTTTCCAGCGCCAGGCTTCGCCCTCTTGTTTCCCGGGGGTTCCTCACCGTCGGAGCCTCCCAGAAGGTTGTCCAGGCTTTGTGGTCCAGAGGACTGTACGGAAGCTCACGGGCCCACGGACGGTTTCTAACTCAGAGGCGGAGGCGGGGACAGGCCTCGGTCCGGACGCCACTGGCCCTTACAAGGGAAGAAAATTGCTGTGCCAGGCCCGGTGGCTCAGGCTGGTCACCCCAGCACTTTGGGAGGCGGAGGCGAGAGGGTTGCCTGAGCCCGGGCCTTCAAGACCCGCCTGGCTTCGTGGCGTGACCGCGTCTCTCCCATACATCAATAAATTGGCTGGACGCGGTGGCATGTGCCCGTAGCCCCAGCTACTTGAAAGCCTGAGCCTAGCAGGGTGAGGCCGCCGTGGCTGTGAGCGTGCCGCTCACTCCAGCCTGGGCAACAGAGGGAGACTCCAGCTCAAAAAAAGAAAAGAAAGAAAAGAAAAAGAAATTGCGAAGGTGATGTGGGCATCTGAGGTTGGACTCCACGCTGTATCCTGGCGGCTGAGAGGGCGCAGCTGCCGGTGGGAGAAATGCCCCCAGACTTGTGTGGTGGGGAGGCGGGCGGGCCAGCCCCCACGCCTCCTTTCTGAGGAGACCCCCTCATCACTCATCCCTCCATGAATGGTACCTCTCACCCCCTTCCTGGCCTCCTGTATCATTACTTCAAAATGTTTTTTAATGGACTGTTTTAAAGGAAAGAAAGAAATCCATTCCTTTGAGTTAGGGCTCTGCCGGCTCCAGGCCCTCTCTGGGCGTCACCCAGGTTTCTTCTCTTGGTCCTTTTGTCACACCTGCACGGTCCCTTGTCCCAATATCTCACGGGGACCAAATGGAACGGGGGAAGCCCAGTTTGGGCCAAGGTCTGCCTTTGAGCACCAGTGAGCGAGAGGTCTCTATCCAGCCATGTTTATGCTTTTGATGGAAGCCTCCTGTGGTCACATAGTCCCAACCCAAAGGAGTGGATTTATTTCTTTCCTTTACAACGATCCGTTATAAAACATTTGCTTGAGAGGGTGAGACAAGAGGGTGCACGAACCCAGGACTTTGAGGCCAGCCTGGGCAACATAGCAAGACCTTCTCTAGTTAACAAATAAATGAAGACAGATAAAAAATAAAAAAAATTAGAAAGGTTCAGAAGCGGAAAGAATACAAATCTTTTGTCGTCTACCTACTCCCTACTCAAACATTGTGTTCTTTAAAAACGTAGTGGTAGCCACATTATAGATGCATTTGATATTGTATAGTTTTCATTTATTGTAGGCTCTTCATAGACCTCACTTTAAGTGACTGTGTAATGTTCTATGGAGAAGATGTGCTAAGGTTTTTTCAACATTTCCTTCGTGAGTAGACAACTGAGTTGTTTCCATTTTTTAATATTAACCATTATGCCGTGTCAACATATCATGGATTTTTTTTAAAGAGATGGACTGTTGCTCTGTCATCCGGACTGGAGTGCCGTGGTTCAATCAGAGCTCACTGCGGTCTTGACCGCCTCGGCTCAAGTGGTCCTCCCGCCTTCGCTTCCGGAGTGGCTGGGACTGCGGGCAAGCCACCACACCCAGCTAGTTAAAAAAAAAAAATGTAGGGATGGGGCCTCGCTATTTTGCCCAGGCTAGATTTTTTTTTTCTTTGTGTAGTATTGTTTAGGATGGCCTTTCAGAAATGGCATTGCTGGGTCAGAGTCCTCTTGCTGGCTTGTCAAAGGGCTTTCCAAGTGGCGGTCTCCCTTTACATCCCACCTGCACAGAGTGTGATTGTTTATCCACCCTAGCCAGCTTTCGCTGTTTTAAATCTTTTTTTTTTTTTTTTTGAGTTGGAGTCTCACTCTGTCACCCAGGCTGGAGTGCAGTGGCACGCTCCCGGCCACCGCAGCCTCGGCCTGCTGGGTTCCGGTGATCCTTTTGCCTCAGCCTTCCGAGTAGCTGGAACTACAGGCCCGCGCTACCACGCCTGGCAAATTTTTGATTTATTGTAGAGAGCCCCGAGAGCCCAAGAAGGGAGCTGAGGGCTGGAGAGGAGGTACCCTGGCTCCCTGCACCTTTGAAGAGAGAGGGTCAGGCAGGCCATGCCACATCCTTTCGGTCCTTTCCATCTCAAACTGCGACTTTGAGAGACCTGGAGCTACCTGATGGCCTGTTCACAAATGACGCTTAGCCAGGTAGCCAGCCTCACAGGACGTCCTTGCTTGCAGCCGATGAATCTGTTGGGAGGCCTAAGACCGGCCCAGGCCAACCTGAATGAAGGCCTGGGAGTGAGACTAGAGCTGCAGTATTGACTGGGGACCTTTGTGGGTGTTACTTGGGGGTGGCTTTTGTCAGCTGGTTGTCACTGAGTGAGTAGGGGTCTGGGGTGCTGTGAAACGTCGTACAATGTACGAAAACAGCCCCAGGAGCAATCTGGCCGCAAATCTCAATGGCGCTGAAATCGAGAAGCTCTATGACAGACAGTAGCTATAGGGTCAAGGTCACCAGGATCTGGGTGGGCAGGACTTATGATGGCCAGGATTTGGGGAGAGAGAGCTGGGGGTTGGGGGCTGCCTGGTTTCCAGCCCGGGAAAACAAGGAGGACCCAGGAGGAGGCAGCCTGGGGGGAGGCCAGGTGTGGATGGACTCTTGGCTCTATGGCCCCCCATGTAGAGAAGTCCAGAAGGCAGCTGGAGCTCCCAGGGGGAGGTGTCCTCATCAGAAAACCGAAGCAGGCAGACTAGCAGGTGGGTGTCAAGGCCTGAGAGGGGGGCTTACTCCAGAACGGAGTGGAGACAGAACCCACTGGCGGGTGAGGCCTCGGCTCTGGTGGGGGTGTGCTGGGTCCTGCTGGCGGACTGCATGTGGGGGTGAGGGCAAGAGCTGCACGGACTCCGAGTCCTGGGGTCTGGTCTGAGCCACCGAGTGGATGGCGTGCTGCGGCCATTAAGGAGACAGTGGGAGGACCAGGGTGGGATGGGAATATTAGGAATTCTGTATCAGATGTGTTAGGTGTGAGTTGCCAAGGAGGCAGCTGGCTGTGAGTCTCAGGGGAGAGGCGAGGGCCAGGGTGCAGCTTGGGAAGACGACCTGTTCACACCTACTCTGGGAGGGGACCCATTTCCTGCTTCTGACAGGTGAGGACTCGGGTCCATGGCCCGTGGGTGGCGAGATGACAAGGGCGGCCTTGGCTGCAAGCCTGGTTCCAAGCGGAGTATTCTCCTATGTAGCAGGAAGGGGATCGTGGGAGTCCTTCCTCCCTGAGTGGCGGTCGCCGCAGCTGCTGGGTTTGCTTGCTCTGGTTGCCTTAACCAAGTGCAGCCAGCCCTCTGTGCGTGCAGGGCCCCTCTGGACTGACCCGTACGGACTTTCTTCTTGCCGTCATTCCCTAAACAATACAGCAGAGCAACTGTTTACATAGCACTTGCACTGCGTTAAGTGTTATAAGTACTCTGGAGAGGATCTAAAGTGTATGGAGGATGATCATAGGTTAAATGCAAATGTGATGCCATTTTGTATCAGAGACTTGAGCACCTGAGGATTTTCGTGTCCGAAGGAGGGCCTGGAGCCACCTCTGTAGCTCCCAAGGGACGATTGGGCGGCTTAAACAACAGAAATGTGTCCTTCCACAGTCTGGAGGGTGGAAGCCCACCATCGAGGTGTGGCAGAGTGGCTCCACCTGGGGGCTGGAGGGAGAATGTGCTGGGTCCCCCCCCCAGCTTCTGGTGATGGCCAGTGGCCTTTGGCGTCCTTTGGCTGACAGAGGCATCCCCCACTTCTCCTTCATCTTTCCACGGCGTTGCCCCCGTCAGTCCCGAGTCCACATCTCTCCTTTTCGTAAGAACGCCATCATTCTAGACGAGGGCCGCCCCTCCTGACTTCCGTGCATCTTCATCGCCTCTGCACACGCCCTGTCTCCAAACGAGGTGGCGTTCTGAGGTCAGGACTCCAGCGTATCTATTTCAGGGGGACGCGGTTCACAGCTGCCTTCTCAGGGGTTGGCAGGGCGGTTTCACTCAGGCCGTCCCCACAGCAAGCCGTTGCTGCATGAAAATAACAGCCTGCAAGATCTCGTCGACGATGCGATTCCGCTTTTGTCGGCAGGAATGCCAGCGATGTCCATGCAAAGAAAACCTGCGGGGAGGACCCCAAAATGCCGGCAAGCATGGCATCTCAGGGCGAGAGGATGGGTTATTTTTGTGTCTTTTCTCTGTAATTGCTGCTGGTACGGGCCTTTGAGGTGCTTTTGTGAATTCTTTGAAGTTGTATGCAAGTCTTCACGTGCGGGTGCAGTTCATGGGGGAGAATGTCCCTTCTCTCGCAGTGGGTCCTCAAATGGAGCGGCGATCCCCAAACACAAAGCCTCTCGAGCCCTGAAATTCCAGAGGCATCTCATTTTCCACTCCTTTCTCTTGACCAGTGAGATGCTGTGGAAGGTTGCCGTAGAACCAGGACTCCCTCCCCTGGAAGGCCTGCGGCTCCTTGGAGGGGGGCGCTCTCTGGGGCTCCACTCTCCCCGTAAGGCCAGCTCTGACAGGTGGTGGGCGGAACCCTGGGGTGGGGGAGGGCTTTTTTCCACTTGGGTCACCAGCAGGGCGCATGTTTGTGAGGTCTCAGCGGGGCACTCGTTAGGATGTGGCTGCCTCCTGCACAGCCTGTGGACAGCCCGGTCCCTGGAGGAAACCCCCAACCACGTGTCTGCCTCTGCTGTCACACCACAGCGATCCTCCACGCAGAAGCAGGCCTTTGACCAGTGTGGGGTCTCTCCCCACCACCATGCGGCAGGCTCTAGCCGGGTGTCATCGGTTCAGTCCCAACAAT